GTGGCCCGGCGGCGGGGCGGCATGCCGGGGGCGGCAGGGCGGTAGCGGCGGCGCCGAGTTGGTGCCGGGGCGGCGGGAGCGGCGATGCGGCTGCTCGGCGCCTTTCTGCGGTTGCTGGTGGCCGGGACGCTGGGGGCACCGCCCGCCCCGGTGAGAGCTGAGGGGCGGGAGGGGGGTCGGAGCGGGAGCAGCCCGGTCTCCCGGTGTCGCTGCCCCGGGTGGCCGTGACGGCCGGGACAGCTCCTCCCGGCGCTGGGCGGGGGGCGGCGGCGGGTCGCCCCGTTCCGCCCCGCCAGCGCTCGCCTTTCCCTCCCTGCAGGCCCTGGAGGAACGGGGGACCGCCAGCGCGGAGTCGCCCGGTGAGTTGACCCTGGGCGGCAGCCGGTGCTCTGGCTGGGAGGGGGCGGCAACCCAGGGAGGGCTTCGCGCAGAGCTGGGGCACATTCGGTGCCACCCGGGGTTGTGTTACCTCCGGAGCCCCGCGGCGACAACCGGGGTGGCAGCGGGGAGCTGCGCCGAGGCTCGGAGCAACTCGATTCCCCCTGCCCGCCCCGGGCGCTTGCGGCACCGGGCACGGCTGCGGACCGSAGCGGAGCGCAGCCCTATCCCTGAACTGTCGCCCCTCCGGTGCCGGCGTGCGGGGTCACGGAGGGGAGCACTCCGCTTCAGTTCTCCCTGCTGRAAAGCCTCAGGGGGCGGCTGTCTGCCCGAGGGAGGTTCGAGGAGCTGGGGAGCCCCTTCGCGGCGGAGGTGAGCGGAGTGCCTGGGCTAGAGACTGAGCTGCCGGGCAGAGGGAGAAGGAACCTATCGGGGTGACTGTGTGAGCCCCCGCACAATGATGCGCACAGTATCCTGCAGGACTTACTGGGAGCACAAGGGGGTCCTTTGCATCCCTGTGCCCCTGTGATGGCTGCGGGACCCACCGCGGCTGCTGCACCTGCCCTGGCAGCTGCCCGGCCGGGCTCTGCCTCTCTGGGCGCTTCCTTAGATCCCCTGCCCTTCTCTCTTGCAGTCCTGACCTTTCGGGAGATCTGGAATCGTAGTTTCTGTCGGCCTCTGGAGCAGCTGGTGGACGTCATTACCGAATTCCCCAACGAGGTGGAGTACATTTTCAGACCCTCCTGCGTCTCCCTGCAGCGCTGTGGAGGCTGTTGTGGGGACGAGGGTCTCCACTGTGTCCCCGTGGAGACAAGCACGGTCACCATGCAGGTACGTGCKGCTGCTGCGGGGCCGTGGCTGTGCYGGGGGGTTGTGGGCTGCGCATCAAGCGCCGGGAAGGTGAACTTGCAGCTTTGCGTCCTGTAGACATTGGAGCAGTGTGGCTAGCAAGGGAGAGGACTTAGAACTGCTCAAAAGCATGCCAAGCCAGTAGGGTCCCTCTGCCTGCTCTTTGGGCTTGCCTCTGAGGCCAGGAGTCACCCCTGGTGGTGCTGGCCTCACTCCCTGCTTCCCGGACTTCTCTCTGTGTGGTCTGTCTTGCTCATTGCTGTCATCGTTCCAGACCTTTCCTGTCCTGCTGTGGGGTTTGGGGGGTGTTCCAGTTGCCCATGTCTGCCYGCTGGGACAAAGCAGGTGCGGCTTTTGAATCCCGAATCTCTTGAATCTTGAAAGGGAGGAGTGAGACTCCCCTGTGTCAGGTGATGCTTGGGGTAGTGCTGACAGTGCCACGCTGGGGCATGGTGAGCATGAAGGGCTGAGCCAGCTGCATTTTCAGTTGCCACTATGTGAGCTATGAGATGTGGGTGGGAGATCCTGGGCCATTCTACTCTTCCCCATGTACCAAGTAGCAGTTGTCCTCACACTGGAGCCCTTTCACTGAGCTGCCTCAGATCAACCTGCTGATGCTGCAGRGAGCAGGGAAAAGCTCTGCTTTGTTATGGATGATGGACTAGGGAGTGCCTGGAATAACTCACCGGTGATTTTGGTCCCTCCAGGGTTGAAAGTGTGTTGGAAGGCAGGATGGCAGCTTCCAAAAACTCTTGGCTGAGGTGGATCAAAAGCCTGGCCTGAGCAGGAGGCAGTTSCCCAAGCACAGGTCTCCCTCTATGGGAGGGATTCTGCTGCTGTGCACAGACAGTTCTGCAGGGGCTAGTGTGGATCACACCAGTGATGAACATACCCTGTGAGGCCCTTGGAGGTCCAACCTGAACTTTGGRCTGGGCTGTGGAGTGACACATGACAGGGTAAATCGTGTACCCCTGGACTGGAGAGGCACTGTGCTACTGACTCCAGTTAATTCCCACTCAGCGCTGTAAGAAAGGGGTTCAGGAGGAGACAGCAGCAATGGGACTGGTCTGGAAAGCATGACTGGGAGGATATTTCTGTCAGAGAAGGGAGATGTGCAAAGTGGTCAAATATGCGAAAGCTCTCCAGAAAGGCAGAGACTGAAAAATATTTTCTGAGGCTGGGAAATCCCAAGACCATGGGACTTAAACTAAAGCTCTGAAGACGTGGGGCGGCATTAGCAGAGCGTCCCAATCTGCTGGAGCAGCTGGGCCTGGCCGGTGCTGCCTACRTGTGGAGGTGGAGTCTCTGTTGTTGGAGGTCCCGAGGAACAGGTTAGACATGCATCTTCCCAAGAGGCTGGGGTGGCAAGGCAGTGGCGCAGGAGCCCTTCCAGCCCCCTCCTGCCGCTGCCTGGGAAGTAACCTTTGCTCCTCTTTCAGCTCCTGAAGATAAAGCCGAACGGGGAGGCGCCCTACGTGGAGATGGCGTTCACAGAGCACAAGCAGTGCGAGTGCAGGTAGGGACTCCAGGGCTCCAGCGAGAGCAGCCCTGGCATCTCACCCTGTGTGTGGATCAGGGATGCGCTGTGGGCACCCTGCCTGTGCTGGGACCCCTTTTCACTGTCTTTGCACTGGGTTTTCTGGTGCTTTTGGCCCTTGTTCCACTGCAGGCTGTGGCACATCTCCCCGCAGCCAAGGGGACACATGGCATTGTGCAGACGGGCCGGGCACCACRCACCATCTGCGGGGCTGTGCTCCCCATCCCTGCAGCTGCCTTGGCATGCCTGATGTATGCTCCTCTAGCCAGAGGATGGGTAATGGAGCAAGGCTGGTGGCTCTGAGGCATGTGTTTCGTGTGTGACAGCACGTCCGAGGGAGCTCCATGGCTTGGCATGCCTGAGTGTGACCACGGCCCAAAGAGAAAGCTCAATAGCTGGGTCTTGGGCCACCATTTCAGGTGGTCTGCTGGGAAGCAGAGGTTTACATCCAAACCAACAAATGAGAGCTTAAAACACAGTGCCAACCAGGCCTGGATACGCAGTGGTGACCTGGAATGGATGTGCAGCACCAACCTGTCACAGACTCCTAATCAACCCCTTGGGGTGCTCACCGTGTCCCAAAAGTGGTGAAAGTCTGGAAAGCAGGATGGGGCCTCTGCCTGAGGACTGCAAYGCTGTGGGAGCAGCTCCAGTGCTGCCTGCAGCTGGTCCCTGCTATAGAGATTCTCCAGCATTTCTTGAATGGGTGTCCTGGTAATCACTCTCCATCATTATCCGAGGGTGATTTAGTATTGCAAAAATTGGGGGATGAGTGTCCTGCTGAGCAGCCATTAGACATGATCCTTGCCTGGAAGAAGAGCCTGAGGATCCCTGGGTTGGTATTCCCCTGCAGTTGTATGAACAGCTGTACTGGAGCAGATCCAGCTCCCCGCTGCCTCTGGAGTGTCTGTCAGTGGATGCAGGAAGGGGAGTGGGAAGAAGCACATGTTTTGCTTGCCTCCTTCTCCACTTCCAGCCATTTTCCATGCAGGGAATTTCCTAAGCCTTTTGTGGTTTTCCTACCTAGGGTAACTCCCAGGGGATCTCCAATGAGCACTTGTGCAGGCTGCCTTCTGCAGCAGTTTTTGGCTTCTCCCTAAGCCGCTTTCCACACCAGTACATCGCTCCCTTTTGTAGTTTAATGTAGGCGTGGTAGATGTCCTGGCTGTGAACCCTAAGGGGGGTATGTCATGGCTGAGAACCACTACTGAGGCTTTGAAGCAAATCCCCACGTTTGTTACTCAGGATGTTGCATCTTGTTTAACCACAGCATTTGAAAGCTGTCAGTGAGAGCAGCTAAGACTGAACTTGCCCTTCCCAGCCTCACTGGCAAAACGTCACATCCCCAGGGTAGTCACCCAAGCTGAGCAGCCCCTTTGCTGTCCCTGCCTCCTCTTTGCCTGCTGTGATCAGCTCCTGACTGAGGAGTTGATATGGTCAAGAGAAGTGACATTGGGTCTGTTTTAAGMATGAATGATCACAGGTAGATGGTGCTGTGCACTGGGGCATGTCAGTGGACCACCTCCTGCAGCTCAACATGCAGCACTGCCCAATAACCACTGCACTTTGTCTTTTTCCCCCTCTGCAGGCCCCGGCAGGACCTGATGAGGTTGGGAAGGTAAGTGACATCAGGGGTGTTGTTACTGGCTGGGACTGTAGGTCTCCCACACATCAGCCCTTCTCATGGTACTTTTCCTTTTGAAGGAGGAGGTCCAAAGGCCGAGGTAAGAGAAGACAAGACAGGAAGGGACGGAAAGACTGCGAACTGTAAGTGASCAGGGCAGGTATGGGTGGTGTTTTCTGGGTTAATTTCCTTGAGGATGAGCATCTTCATTAAGCATTTAGATCTTTGCTGACACTGTGAGCAGTGAAGGGTTTGTGCAGAGCAGATGCAGAAGAAAGCAGGAGATGACAGTGGGTAGCTGTGGGGAAACTGGCCTTTTACTGGAGGCTCARTAGGCACTTGGTAGCCTCCAGGCTCAGCAGCTCAAAGCTGGGCAGAATAGGGATGCATGGATGGACTGCATGACTTGATGGTGCTTAGCTCTATTGCCATCACAGACCATCCTGGGTTTCCTGGACCAAGAATTTCCAGTTTCAGCCTCATCTTGCTGCCAGCTGTGTTCTTACTGCTGTYCTTGACTGATTGTTGTTTGGGCTACTCTACTCTTTCTGTCCTTTATCTCACTTTCTCACACTGCTTGCTGTAACAGCGCAAGCTGGACTCTTTGTGGGCACTTTTGAGGTATGACACCTGTGGCTGTCACTTTCCTCTAGCATTTCCCCCTTTTGTATGAAGCTTGCTGTTGGGCCAGCACCATCCCCATCACCCTCATTCCTCCCCATGAAGAGGCTGCCTGCACTCTCTGCCCCTGCAGTTCTGTGTCAGAGGGGCCAGGCACAGAGAAGGGGATCTGGGGCAGAGCAGATGAGGCTGGGAGTGCTCACCCCATGCCGTGCTCTCTTTGCAGATGTGGCACACCACGCAGGTAGCCTCTGCCCTGCCCCCAGCCTCGCCCCTGCTGCCTGGGTTTGAGCCAGCTGCCTTTCCCCCCCAGCCTGGGACACTTGTGGAGTCATGTCCCTCCAAGCCACAGTGGGGAGCAGGACTCCGGCATGGAAGAGCTGCCTGCACTCTTGGGTGGCCCTGCTGGGAACACGGCCTGGAGCCAAAGACTCCTTTGCCCCATATGCCCCAYTGGCAGCAGGACAAAAGGATCTATGATCTGGCCTAGAGCTGAAGATGAGGAACTCATGCAGTGTGTTGGTGTTTGAGACATTGTGGGGGCAACGAGGAGCAGAGCTGGTGGATGTGCTGCTGGAACTGGCTGGGAAGTACAGCATGATGTGGAATCGAGTGGAGATGGCTCACAGGCCTGCAGCTGCAAATCTTCTCTGTCCTGCCAGTGCTCTGCGGCTGGGGAGGAAGGAAATCTGGGGAAGTCAAGGCTGCAGGGCTGCATCCATCCCAGCTCTGGCACGGGGCAGCCCAGGCAGGTGCCAGGGAGCTTGCCTGGGAAGCTGTTCTGGTGGGGAACACAAGGGAACTGGGCTCCTCGTGCATTCACAACCACATCCCAGCTTTGCCCTGCACAATAGAAGCTGGTCAGACGTGGGAGCTGGCAGTGTGAGCACTCCTGTCTGCTTTCCAACAGCTACAGGCAGGGAACTTCCCTATGGGCGCCTACTCGGGCTGGAGGAGGGTGGTGACGCAGGGCCTGTCCCCGTCACCAATCCTCAGCACCCAAGCGACTGCCCTTGGTGTCAGGCTGGAGAGGCAACCAGCAGGTCCATCCCCAGGCTGGGGGCTACTCACGTGCTGGAGTTCATTTGGGACACTCTTGTGGGAACTGCCCTTCTCCGTCACACTACAGTGTGGGACTGGTACCTCTCCCTSTTCACATCCTCATCCTGCTCTCACCCCAGTCCAAATGTCTGGCTCAGTGTCCTGTCCTTCCTGGCAGGGCTGATGCAAAGTTTAGGGTGGTGGGGGGCCCTAAGTGCCTTGCCAGTCAGGAAACACCCCACAGAGGCTCGTTTACCTGACATGGGGCCAGGCCCCATCCCTGACTGAGAATACCTTTGGGGTATAAGGAGCTGGTGGCTCTCATCAAGGTGGCTGTGGATATTGCTGTTTCCTGCTTTCCCACTCAGCCAGTTCTCTGCCCAGGTTCAATGGGAAGTCACAGCCCTGGTTTTCCATGCTTTAAGCAGTACTTCTGGGGTTTTTCCTGTCTCTGTTCCGACCCCTACTGCAGGGAGTCTGGGGCTGTCTGCCAAATGCATCCCATGCTGGCCATATCCTGGGGCAGTGCATATGGCTGGAAACCCTAGGGGTGAGCTGGAAACAGTATGTTTGTGGGCACCCCAGCACCAGGTTAAAACAAAATCAAGGATCATTCTTGAAAGCTTCAAACAAAAGACCAAAGGTCGGCAAAGGCTTCGAAGTTACCCTTAAATGATGAGACCTGTGGTTTATCCGGCTCTGAGGAACAAGTGAGGAGCCTAAAGTAGCAGGAGGTGGGGTCCACTGCCTGTAACAGGGGTTACATTATGACTCTCTAAGCCATAAYGTTGGCATTGACTCAGGCTGGCAGAAGGACATGGGGACAGGCCAGATCCCTGTCAGGGAAAGCTGGCAGTGAGTGTTGAGGTGATGTGAGCCTCCATACTGCCACCATTGTAGCAGGGAATGGACTTGGTGAGTTGTACCTTTGCAGCTGGGCATATCCTTCAGGAGCTTGCTGGATCCCTTTTGGATCCCATTTCCAGTTCTGGCATTCACRGTATCCTGGGACACAGCCTACATGGGCTTTCCCTCAACAGTGGCCCATGAAGTTCCTCCTTCACTACCTCATGGATGAGGGGAACTCACTGCTCCTCTTCCCACATCACTCAGAGTCTGTGTGGACCGTGTGGTGTCCTGTCCTGGTCCACACAGGCTTTCCCTGTTACTGTGTGCCATTTCTGCCTTGCTGGTTGTGCCCTGAGGCCAAGGAGAACTGTGTGCAGTGCTTGAGGGTGTCTGTGACGGTTTCTGTAGTGTTTTTAAAACCCCTGTAGTATTAAACCTTTAAAAAAGGAAGTTACATAAATCTAAGTATGTTAATTAATAAAAATAAATTTATCAAGACTAATGACTAGGATTACTTGTACCCCTTGCAGACAGGCAGCTGTCCCATGGGAGCAGCACATCACTGGGTTATCAGCGTCCCTGGGCTCCCTATGTCTTCCTGCCTAAGAGAGCAAAGGTTTGTTTAATAAAGCTTTAGGAGTCAGAGCTGCAGTAAGGTGATTTTGGAGGATAGTTATAGGGAGACAAAACATAAAGCACCCTTATGCCCCAGGAACAAAATATTATGTTTTTTGGGAAATAAGTGTAAAGGTGTTGTGGAGATCAGCCCACAGATGTAGCATTGTAGCTGATGAAGGCCTGATGTTAAAACTTTGCTGGTAACCTCCGGTCTCCCTGATCATAGGATGCCATCAGTGCTGCCTCCAAGCAGTGTCTCCCACATGTCTCCATGAAATTGAAGAAGTACTGAGGTCCTAACTTCTCATTTGTGACTTACAAGTCTTTTGCATTCTCATGAAGTTTGCCTGTTGCAATGGGACACGTCTGTAGGTTAGCAAGGGGTGRACGAAGATGCAGGTGCCTCTCTCTTCCCAAACAATCTTACCGTTTTTCTAACGCTATCTCTTAGATTTMATTACAGCCCTCCTCCCTTTGCAGGTCTCTTGCCACCCCTCTGATAAGGCAGTTATTTAATCTGGGACCAACCATCCCACAGACACAGCAAACCAATTGGCCTGAGCAGTAACCACCTGAACACTTCTGGTTCAGCAAATCTCCTTTGCTAGTAAATGCAATGATCTAGCAGGCCCTGCAAGACCTCTTGGTCTTCCAAGAAAAAGCCAGGCCAGAAGGCCAGGAATACATGTTTGTAGGATAAGCCAAAGACCAATATTTTCCACTTACAAAGCATTTGTTAACCACCAGCTGGGATCTTGACTACGTTGTCACTTTGTGGCACATTAATAAATTTGTGCTGATGTTCCCTGTTCTGTACATTTGAAATAAGTTCATAAAATCCAATGAGTCTGCAAGAGCTGGCAGAAGGGCTGGCTAAGAGCCCAGTGTGAGAGCCAACAGAACCCGCTTGAAAGATGAAATCGGGAAGAACCGGATTACCCAGGGCTGGCCATGATGAAGTGACACGACACCCACCACCTCAACTGTGGCAGCGGGGAGCTGTGGGAGCGGGTGCGCCCCTTGGGCGGCCGGCAGAGACAAAGGCTAATTAAAACACAGCTAATTGCGCTTTATGGGAGGCAGCAAAGGCAGCACTTAATGAACGGGAGCTTGGTTAATTAAGGGCAATTAATGGTGAGTAACGATGACAATAAAGCTAGTGGAGCGACGGCGCTCATCGCGCGTTAACGGAGCGGTGGAGCGCCTTTCTGGGGCGGGGGCGGGACCGCGGCGGGGGGACCCGGGCACGGACCCCGCGGGGGGCGATGAGGATGACGATGATGATGATGTTGACGTTGACGTTGACGATGATGATGATGATGATGATGATGATGATGATGATGATGATGATGATGATCTCATCCGTGGCCAATCAGCGCCGCCCGCCCCCGCCGCGCCCCTGCCGCCCCGCCCGGCGGCGCCGGGGATGCTGGCTGCTGGCGGCGGCGCTGCCCAGGTGCGGGCCGCGGGGGTGGCGGGGCCGTGCCGGTAAGCGAAGGGGCCGAGGCGTGCGTCGTGGCCTGGCTGACCTGGCAGCCCCGTTGCCGGTATCCCGGGCGCAGGGCCATGAGCCGGGCGGAGGCCGAGCCCTGCTCCCGGGCGCTGGCGCAGGCCCGCGTCTACCTGGGCCAGCTGCGGGGTCGAGTGGGCCCGGCGGGGCCCGAGGGCGGCGGGCGCCGGGATTACCTGGTGGAGGCGGCGCGGCAGCTGCGGCTGGCGCTGGAGCGGGACGTCAGCGAGGACTACGAGGAGGCCTTCAACCACTACCAGAACGGCGTGGACGTGCTGCTCCGCGGCGTGCAGGGTGTGTGCGGCCCACCGGGGGCGGGGGACCGGGGCCGCCCTCCGGGAGCACCAGCCAAGGGACCAGAGCTCTCATATCGGGAGTTGCGTGAGGGGGSCAGGGTATCCCTCCACAGAGAATGACAATGGGATGGGGAAATCCCTCCAGGGTGTGTGGTGAGGGCATTGGGGCATCTATCCAGGGAGTGCATCCCTACCGGGAGAAGGATGAGGGGCTGGGGCAGCCCCCTGGCGACTGTGGCCAGGGTATCCCTTCGGTGAGTGCCAGACACCTCACAGCCRCCCTTTGCACCGACTGCAGTTGACCCCAACAAGGAGCGTCGAGAGGCCGTGAAGAGGAAGATCACACAGTACCTGCGGCGTGCCGAGGAAATCTTCAATTGCCACCTCCAGCGGGTGGGGGGTGGCAACACCACTGCCACGGTGAGGGGCTGGCGTGGGGCGGCACGGGTGGGATGGCTGCGGCTCTGTGACACTGGGAAGCGGATGTGGGAATGTGGACACACAGATAAAGCAGCCCCGGTGGCCCTCCTTGTCCGCCTCTGCCAGATGCCACACTAAGATGGTGTYGAGAAAATGGCAGGCACATCAAGCTGCAGAGTGTCCTGACCGGCCAGTGTCTGCAAGGGAGCTGGCAGCGCTGTGCTCTGCCTTGATCAAGGAGCTGAGGTGGGCCCAGGTTGCCTAGGGTGCTTCCAGGACCCCACCATCCAATGTGTGTAAGCTTAGCTTGCTGCCACCGTAGTGAATTTGGACATTTTTGTGGACACTGAAGCCACTGCAAGGAACCATTCTGTCAAATGTTAAAAATGTCATCTTCCCTGTCACTGTTCCCATCTGTATGGGAACCAAAGACAGTGGCTGCTTTCTGCATTGTGGGAAGGATGTGGTTGAAGAAGGAAGAAGGAAATGAGGCAGGGCAGGATCAGAGCCTAGTGGGAAGAATGTGGGGAGAAAGACAACTACCTTCCATACAGATCCCCTTAGTGTTGAATCAGTTCAGGTCTAGCTACAAATTTTGTTGTGATTTTTACCTCAGCTGCAARTGCAAGCATTCCCTAAAATATGTAGAAATTCAGGGGTTGGCCAAGAAAATGGTCCATCTGTTGTTAGAAATGAATCATGGCCATTGGAGTGTTGAATCTGCATGTTGACCAGGTGGGCAGTATTGCTGCCTTCTCTGGAAAATGCAGGGACTTTTTTCACCCACTGTCAAGAACAGCAGCGTTTCTTAGCCCTTCATCTTCTCTTATCACCTTGCAGGGCTACAGCAGCCTGCGCTTCCGGCCAATCAGGACACTGAGCTCGGCAGTGGAGAACCTGAGACGGTGTAAGGTTGTGGGAGTGATTGATAAGGTAATGACTTCACCTGGAGATGAGGGTGAGGCTGGGGCTGGACCAAAAGGAGCTAAGCTGGAGGGTCCTAGCAGCTGGAATGAGGGTGACAGCCCTCAGCACATCCATCAAGCAACATTGGGGTATCCATCCACACCATTCCCACTAAGAAAAATTCACAGGAGAGGATTCAAGACCCCTTAGGGAGTTACYTGGGAAATCTCTTAATGTCCCTGTTACTTTTGCTTACCAGAGCTCCCAAGATAKTTACAGGGTGGTTTATGTATCTGGTTCTTTCCCACATATGGAATCATGCTTGATGCCCTGGTGCCCTGATGGTGGACCCCGGTGGATAATCTAGACTTCAGCAGAAGCTGAGCTATCTGGATGAATAAACTAGTTAGAAGTTCATTATCTTGGAGTGAAGATTCCAGGCTTACTGTACCCACACACACACTGCACGTTGCTCTCCACTGCCGTTTGCACATYGCGATTTGTCAAGACTCATGTGATCCTCCTGTCCTGCTGGGGCCCAGGTTTGAGCCCAGAAAGAGCAATGTGAAACCTTTCAGTGTGAAGGAAGCAAAACTGACATGGGAGCCCTCTCTTGATTTAATTAATTTTCTGCTTCCTGGCTGCACGGCTATTGCCTTGCTAATAACTTGTGTTTTGTCTTTCAAGAGTAGAGGTCTGAGCCCCACCAAACTCCTCCAGCTGGGTGGGAATTTGTTTCAGTTCCAGGGCTGAGTCCTTTGGGTCATTCCTGTAGGCTGTGTATTGGGTCACTGATTTTGACCAGTACTGTGTGTACTGTCCCAGGTGCAGATTGTCCAGGATCCAGCCACTGGGGAGACCTTTATACTCAAGGTGAGCGTTTTCAGTTTCATCTTTCTGCTTCTCCCTCTGAGGCCGGGGCCACCTTGTCCAAGCAGATGGCTGGGGCAGATGACAGGATCAAAAAATAGCAGCTGTCAGAGGTGCTGGAGGAAGTTCATGGTTCAAAAATATTTTGGCTGCCTCAGCCATCCTCTGTGATCAGAAAAGAATTGGTTCTTGGTTGTCCGTTTCTCTGACTTGTAATGATTCAAGCCCATGTTAATCTGGGTCTGCTCTTGAAACAAGTTGTGGGTGAAATGAGCTCTGTACAAGTCCTGGAGTATTTTTCAGTGCCCTTGGAACTAACAGTGAGGGACTTCAGTAACGGGACAAGAAGGAKCTGGCATGAGAGGGAGAAGCATCTGTTCCAGGGGAAGAGGAAAAGGCTTGGATGGCAGGTTCCTGCCTGAAGGGAGCAGGGTGGTTGCATAGGAGTCCCTGCTCTGGACCAGCCGTGCCCTCCAGGTCCCACAGTATGGATGGGGAGTGCCCTGCCTTGGCAGAGCTTTGCAGAGCACTGCCTTATCACAGCTGGGTGCTGGGCACTGACAGACTCCCTCTGAGCTGCAGGTTTGCACAGACAGGGAGCTCCATTGCAGGTGACACGGGAGCAGCCATGGCGCTTGGCAGAAGGCAAACTCCCCACTGGCTGGCCTCCAGCCCTGCCAGCTGCCAGGTTGCAGGGAGTTCAAGTCCCTACCAGGCTGTAACACCCACCTGTACCTCTTCAGAGCCTCCCCAAATCCCACGTTGAGACCCGTGAGCGACAGACCATCATCCCTCATGGGGTCCCCTTCATGGTCAAGCTGTTGTGCTACTATGTGAGTGAGGACTCCATCTTCCTTCATCTGGAGCACGTGGAGGGTGAGTGAGAACAGCCTTGCCTTCCATCCGTGATGCATCTTGTTTATCCTTAACCTTCCTTTCTTTAAAATCTGAACGATGTTTCTTTTACTGTTTTGGGACTATTTTTTATAGTGATAGTGCAAGATACCTTCTTCATAGAGGTGTGGTAGGTATCAGAGCTTGTGCTGACCCAGGGGCCTGTGCCATGCAGGCCAGAGAGCTCTCTGGCATCTCTGTCACACACGACAGAAAGGCTTTCAGGAAAGTGGGGATGGCAGTGAGATCAGGAGTATCTGTGAAAATGTGGCTTTTCTGTGACGTGGAAGTGGCAGAACTGGGATCAAGGAGACTGCAGAACGGGGAGAGGGCTGCTAAAGGAGGAGGGAATGAGACTTACGTGTACTAGGTCCTGGGGGAGGTGTGGCACTGGGCACAGTGCGCTTGTTGGGCAGGGGTGTATCCTGCATGGACTTGAGCTTTGCTGCTGGGGAGATCAATGGCGCTCAATCACATCCCCACTGTGTGGGCCTTGGCCTGTGCCTGAATGGGCCGTGTCCATCGTGGGCTAACCAGGGATACTTTGTGCCTCGTCACTTGTTCTCCTTTCTGCTTTCCAGGGGAGACACTGTGGTCTCACGTCCGCTCCAAGTACTGTGTCCAGCAGGACTCTGCTGATTCAAACACCATTCACACCCTGAGGGACCATGGTACAGAAGATGGTGTGGGAAACTCCCAGGAAGGCAGCCAAGTATCCATCTCCCCTGCCTGGATAGGAAGTGGCCTCCCAGGCTCTGTGAACTACCAAATATTGGGAAATGCTGATGCCTCACTCCCTCAGGAGCAGTCCCCTCACCCTACAGACTCTGGCTCAGGGAACCTCTGCCAGCTTCTCCTGGCTCCTGCTGGTGRCATGAGAGCTGCATCTGGGGGACAGGATCTGAGTGTGACACAGGCTGTGTCTGGTGGTGTGGACCATTTCCCAGCAGCGTCAGCCAAATGTCCTGGCCACCTGGCCACCCAGGGCCTGGTTATCTACCCATGGAAYGATCTAACCAGTGGTGCAAACTGCAAATCTGAGAGAACAGCCTCACAACAAAGCCCCAAGCTTCCTCGGGGACTCRTCCCTGTACCAAAGACTGTGAGAGGGGGCCAGCCAGGGGCAGGGCGACTGCCAGCTCAGAAAGTGTCTGCGGCTTCCCAGGCTCAGCCCCTCCTGACCTTGGCTGAGAGGCAGCTTCCTGCAGGTGTTGCCCTGTCCAGCTCCAGCAAATCCTGTGTGCCTGACCCAGCCACGAGGGAGCCCTCACCGGGAGCAAGCCTGACCTGCGGCCGGCTCAGCAAACAGCCACCATTGGGACAATGCAAGGCTTTGGGTTCCCATGGGCACAGCCGGAGAGCGTGGGCTGTAAAGGAGGAGCAGGTGCAGCTGTGGGCAGCAGAAATCCTCCTGGCCTTAGAGGGACTTCACCAACAGGGTGTATTGTGCCGGGACCTCAACCCCAGGAACCTGCTGCTTGATGCAGCTGGTAGGTAATGCCTCGTGCTGCTGCCCCAAGGACAAGGAAGATGGTCTCTCAACTGGGAGATGACTGCTTGCCCCGTTTCCAGAAGATGTGGAATTTMTTGAGTTGGCTTTGGAGGAGGGTGGGAGTCTGGGAAGGTTTGGATATTTCTGAAATTGGAAAGTGTGATTTCACTTAAGTTTTCCAAGTGCGTATTACAARAAATGGCTCTGCAGCAGGAGAGTCAAGGGCCATAGCCACAGAAATGCATTGCCACTGCTCCCGCTTGGGAGTTGGCTGCCTGGGAAATCCCAGCATGGGGAAGGTGAAACCAGCTGAACTGTGCCTGAGGTTTGTGGGACTCACRGTTAGTTTTCCCCTGCTTATAGTAACTGCCTGCTGGAGGTGTTCTGCAGCCGTCCCATCCCTCTGAGCCATGGGTACTGCTGTCAGTGCAAGTCCCTGCCCAGCTGGCAAAATCTTGGACAAATTGGAGAGCTACAAATTGCTTGAGAAAAGAAAAATGCAGAGAGTTTTGCAATGAGAAAGCTAACCTCCTCCCCACACTTCTCCTTTAAAAGTACTTCTTTCCTCACCAGAGCCTGCATCGAGATCTGTGAGCTTGGAGCCCACCTAAGCAGTCTCACTAGCTCCAAATGCCTGYTGGGCATTTCGGGCAAGCACAGGGAGGCTGGGGGGTGGAGTGGTGCTAGGACATGCACAGCGCCTCTGTGTTCAGGGCATGATAGGGGCCCAGTGCCCTGGCTATTGCCAGCAGAAGGGATATGGCTTGGCTTCGTGCTATGACCAAAGTCCCTAGTTTTGTCCTAACCTCCCTGCTTTTGACTCTGGTGATGTTCTGCAGGACATGTCCGTCTCACCTTCTTTGGCCARTGGACAGAAGTGGAGCCCCAGTACTGCAGCCAGGCACGGGAAGAGCTGTACAGCGCTCCAGGTAAGGGATGTGTCCCCTGGCTTCTACAACTCTCTGCCCAGGCACACCAACTGGAGTGAGGGGGCTTCGGTAGGCAGTGAGATCTGCCCAGCACAGTGTGGCCACTGGTGGTCCCTGCCTCCAGGTCTAACCCCTTTCTGTCTCTTTCTGCAGAAGTGGGGGGGATCACGGAGCCCACTGAAGCAGCTGACTGCTGGAGCTTTGGCTCTCTCTTGTATGAGTTGCTGACAGGAGTGGTAAGAGGCTGAAGAGCTGTGCAAGAAGGGCAGGGGAGGAGGAGGCTGTGTAGGGCTGGGAGGGTGCCTTGCCCTGCTGGTACCTCAGGGCTTGGCCAGTTTGGTTTAGTTGTGCGATTCCCAGTGCCTGTGGATTGTCTCTTGAATGTTAAGGGCCCTGGCTTTTAAATTCTGTGTAGGGCTGAGGTTCTGTAACAATGAAGACTCAACAGAGTGCTCCTACCTTCGTCAGTGCCTCTGCTTACCCACCGCCCTCTGCCTYTTGCAGCCACTGTCCCAAAACCATCCATCAGGGATTCAGCCTCACACCCAGCTGCATCTGCCAGAGGGCCTCAGCCTGGCTGCTACATCGCTGCTCACTGAGGTGAGGGGCTTGGATGGATAGSGGGGAGAATGGTACTAGAGGCTGGGGAAAGGCAGAGTCCAGCCTGGGTACCTTTTCCAGTGTCCCCATCTCCTGTTCCATTGCTTTCCTCTGCAGCTCCTGCAGTACAATCCAAAACGGCGCTTGGGCTCTGGAGCAGGCGGCATAACAAAGCTGAAGTCTCACTCCTTYTTCAGCACAGTCCCATGGAACAAGCTGGTGGGCTAGGCAGGCTGATCTTCCTTCAGGGAGCTGGGCCCTACACTGCTCCCTGGCACTTGTGACCCCAGGTAACACTCTGGGGCAGGTTTGCCTCAAGGCCTGCCCTGAGGTGGGGCGCACTTGAGGTTTTGCAGCCTTACGTGTCTTTCTGTCTCTGCTTCTGTTGACATCTCCAAAGAGGAGGCAGCAGGCTGGGCCAGGCTGTCTTCTCCAGGTCCTCCCTGGTAGGAAAAGGAACCTGGGTGCTCAATCCCAGGAATAGGTGGTGTTCCCCTCCTTGGGACATCCCTTGCTCACCTCAGCATCCTGCCCTGGAACTCCCTCCCTGTTTTTTCTCTGCTGCTACCACAGTGACCCCCCTGCTCTGTTACTTTTTGTGGCTTTTCAGTGCAGCCCCTCCAGGCCCTGCTGGCTGGAGCCTGAGCCCAGGGTCTCTGCCCCTCCCTGACTGCATGTGTGCTTGTGGGTCATCCCTGCTGCAGGGGTGAGAGAAGAGGGAGCTCTCTGCTCTTCTCCCCCTCTGAAAAAAATAAACTACTCAATTATCACTTGGAGAAGTGTCCTTTTGTTTCTGAGCTGCACCAGCCAGGTTTAGGCCAAGCATGCTGAGCAAGGGAAAGCCCCAAATCTTTTTCTCAAATCTGGCTGGGAACCCTGGGCTGGTGTGACTCCCAGCCATCAGCTTCCTGCAGCCAAATCCCAGAAGGTAACAATGACTGYCTGGCCTTCTGCCCTTGTGCTCCTGTCTGCCTCACAGCCTCAGGTGTCCACACCTGTATGACTGCAGCTCAGATGTGGGAGAAGTGCACAGAATGCCTGGGTTTTCTTCCAGCCTTGACTTCTGTCATCATTTCCTGTTGAGGCTCAAGCCTCCCATGCCTGGGTACTCCTTTCCACTGGCAGGACAGCAGCCCTTGTGCCCATGCTTTGAGCATGGTCATCCCTGGTGGACCAAACAGCAAGGGTTTAAAGGAGTGAACTCTGACAGCCAACGAGGGAGGCCAACTRGACATACATTCAGGCTGAAAGAAAAATGGCATAAATTTGTGTCTGCTGATAGCCCAAGGCAGAGGCTGCTGTGCTCAGCTGTGCAAGTCAAAGCCACAGGCTGAAGGATGAGCTTGCAATGGTGGCAGTGCAGTTCTGGCCCTCCTCTCCCAGCACTCCCTCACACTGCCCATTTACCTCCAAKAGCAAGGACTTACTGGTACCAGTGACACCTCTCTTGGGCTAGTTGGTTCCAGCTCTTGCTTGCCCTCAGCACTAATACCWTGCAGCATCAGCCTGCCTCTCGGGCAGCAGCAGGAGTGCTCCTCCAGCAGAGGGAAGCAGAGCCCTAGACCAACTCACCTCCTGTGCCAGCAAAGGTACAGACTCAATGGCTGTGCAGAAACTGGAGGACTAAGCAGGGAGCTGACCACTAATGCCACAGAAGGCCAGAGAGCAGGAGCAGTTGAGCCTGGGGCTTTTCCTCTCCATGGCAGCCTGCACTGGCTGAACCATCCAGCTGCAGGCTTGTACCCTTGTCCATGTGCCTCCTAGTCCTGTGATTAAGGGGAGGTTCAGGAGGAAGGACCCTCTGGCCAAAGCCACAGCACACCTTCTTTCAACTTAGTGCCATGGGTGTCACCCGAGTCACAAGAAAAGAAGTTTCAAGCACAACTCTCTTATAAGCCTTGACAGGGCAGATTAAATAAAGCAATTTTTTAAGCTGCACCATTTTAAGATCTTGACTGTATATTCATTTCCTGGATGGTTCAAAGGCCTCATTTATTGCAGCTCCAGACAGAACAAAGGCATTACCCTTCCCCAGGCTCATGTACAAAGGTGGACCCTCTGTATCCTAAACCAGCGCAGAGGCTGGGTGCAAGCAGCATTTTCTTAATCATAACCTGCTCTTTCACTCATCTGTGCAAGAACAAGTAGATTTTCTACCCTTCCCAGAACAAACAAGGGTTTTTTCGCTCCTCTCCTAACCTACCCTAGCCAGGGCCAGGAAGAAAAGCTGACTCCACACACTGGTTTTGTCTCCAGCTGCCAGGAAAATACAGGCCCCACTACTAGGAACGGCTCTCCCTTTCATCAGCATGGTAGCTGTAAGTACAATCATTTTTCTTTAGAAGGGGCTGCCCTCTTCACCCATAACTGGGAAGGGCAAACCATTCTCTGAAGTTGATGTCAGAGYTGGGAAAACCCTGCCATTATCCAGGAATGATTTTGTATGGTTCCAACAAGGACAGCTCCTTGGGGAAAATACCCAGCACCACAGATAGCTTCTCCTTTACAGTCCCTTGTTCTTGTTTCCTTTCTCCCTCTGCGACAGCCTTTTCCTCACTTGCATGAATTACAYTCTCCCTTGTTGCAGCAGTGAAAACCCACCCTGTCTCTGTATCTGTACTTTATGAATCCATGCCAGGTCTCCCTCTCGGCCATCATGCCCTTTAGCAAACACCGGGAATTCCTCACCATCTGTAACAGTTCTGTTGCTAGACCAAGAAAAAGATTATTTCCAGCCCTAAAAACCTCTCTGCTGGGAAGAGCCAATTCTTTGGCAGAGTTTGAGGACAGTAGAGTTCACAGGCAGAGAAGACTCAGTTTAGTAGCACCAGTGGTAGGTTTAGCTCCAATTGCCTCTTTCCTCTCTCATCACCAGGTAACAGGCCTGTTGCACTACACTGCAGATGATGCTGATGCCAGAGTCCTCGCCCCCTCAAACACACCCCACCTGGCAGTCGTTGCACAGTTTTATTTCATTTAAAATCCGCTGTGTTAAATATTTTTGTTACAAGTTCTGTGTAGGGGGTAAGAGTAATAGACTCTGCAGGCACTAGCAACCCCCTCACYCCTCATTCATGTGTGCGCTATCAGATTAAGAACTGCCCCCCTCCCCCCAAAACCAGCACCCGTGGGCTGGGATATACATTACAGTGAAAGGCCTGGCCCCCCCAGCTGTGTCCGCTGGGAGCAGGCCAAGCCCCCGCACGCAGGAAGCCAGCAGTCAGATCCACTGCCAGTGAGCTGTGAGTCAAGGAGAGTTGCTGAGGGCTGGTTCTCACCCCCATGTCGGGCATGTAATGGTGAAAGGGCTGTCCCCAGGAACAGTGCTACCTCCACAGAGGTCACGGGCTCTTCCCACCCAGACATGAACCTTCACACCACAGTGACTGGGCTGGTGAGACACAATCTCCAAGGGAAAGTAGGGGAGCTGCCACCCTGTGTTACTGTCTGTGGAGGGAGTGTAACTAGGGCACTGCCAGAAGCACGACACCTACCTCAAGCCCCGCTCTGATCCAAACGTTTCCTGCAAGTGGCCTCGGGGTCAGACCACCCTTGCAAGGCAGATGAGTGTGAAATATTTTCAAGCAAAACATAGACAGGACAGTAGCCTTTCCTCTCCTTTCCCTCCCAGGAACCTCAGTGCTAGGCAATAAAGCTGAACCTGCCATGGAGGGGCAGGGAAGGGTACCCTAGCACAGCAGCAGCAAGCAGTTTCCAGTGGTATAGAACAAGCTAGAGGTGAGAGTTTGGTGCTGTGAGGGAGAGGATGCCACATAGATGGCTCTGGAAAGGCATGGCCATTCAGTGGTTGGCCCACTTCATGGCAGCTCTCGTGAGATACTAAACCTTCATTAAACAAAATAGGAAAGGAGGTAGGAGCTATTCCCGYAATTCCCTCTGGGACAGCTCCAATCACAGCGGAGGAAGAAAGACTGGAATGACCCCTGCCCGTTCCTGAATGCCCTGCATTGTCCCTGCTGGTGCTGCAGCCCTGTCCTGGGTGGGTTGTGTGGGGGTGTGGCTGCCCTACAGGTCGAGCAGCAGCACGCGGGGATCCTCCACCGCCGCCTTGATCTTGCGCAGGAAGGTCACGGCCTCTCTGCCGTCGATGAGCCGGTGATCGTAGGTCAGCGCCACGTACATCATAGGCCGCACCTCGATCTGAGCAGAGGAGTGACACCAGGATTAGTGAGCTCAGCGCAACTGCCTGCATCATTCCCTCCCGGGAATTCACAGAAGACCTGGCTTTTTCCCACCCTAAATCCAGGGTTCCAACCCTCCTGGATGTGTCCCACCTGGCAAGATTACCTACCCACCCACCCAGGCTGTGTCCACGCCATATACAAGACTAGGTCCCTTCCTGCAACTGTTCCCTATCGCAAAGGCTACAACCTCCTCCTTCCCACGGCTAAACAGATTACATCCAGTTTACCCCCTCACAGATAGGACAAAGCCCCCTGCACAGCTGAAGCAACTACCAGGGCCGGCAAAGGTTCCTTGAACCAATAAGTCTCTGCTCCTTCACAGTAAAATGTTTTAGAAGTGACACTAATCCCTTAGAAAAAAGTCCTCAATGTGCAGAGCCCTCTCCTTTGTTCACTAAAATCCCCTGTACAGGTCCACCTACCTTGCCTCCCACAGCCACAGGCCTGTCAAAGATGGCATGCATGCCTAAGATGGCAGACTGGGGTGGGTTAATAATAGGTGTTCCAAAGAGTGACCCAAAAACCCCACCATTGCTGATTGTGAAAGTGCCRCCATCCATGTCTTCAATGGCCAGTTCATTCTTCCGTGCCTAGAAGTAAAAGTAAGGTCTTAGAAAGCCACACAGATCACAGAGAGCAAGGAACACGGGTTTGCACATTCACACTCTCCAGGAATAAATAGTGATTGCCAAGAGCTTTGCTTATTGATTTGTTCAACTGAAAACCAGCACAAATAATTTGAAAACACATCCTATCTTTAGAGCTGAACGTTTAGTGGCTTTGGGGAAGGATTCTCTCGGCTTCACTTCCAAGTCCTGCTTTTGCAGGTGATAGACACAGAGACTTCTACTCCAGGGCAGTTCAGCCTYGGCCTCTACAATGGTGAAGATACACCACATCATTAATGCACAGATTGCAATCTTCTGGAAGGGAAACAAGTAGATAGAGATGTCTTAGAAGGCAGAGGCACAGCCAGAGATGTAACTGGATCACAGCACAACTCAGTGTGTTAGAGGTCACAGATGACAACACAGAGACTAAATCAATACATGCCGATCCAGCACTCCCAATTCCTTCCATTACTCCCAACCCTCTGCAGAAAACTTTCCTTACCTTCTCCCCCAACTCGTAGATAGCACGCTCTATGTCAGCGAAGTTCATGTTTTCTACATTCCTAACCACAGGGACCACCAGACCCTGGGGAGAAGCAAAGTCCATGAACAGCAAAATCAGTGCAGTGACACACAGCTAGCTGTCATGGGCCAGGAACCTGGACACAGCCCCGGAGAGTTCCTGCCTCTCCTTCAGCCCATAGCAGGTGGTTGGCAGAGCTGCCTCACACCCTGGCAGCCTGACAGGAAACCTGGCATGACACACATCAAGGGCTGACACCCTAAACTGAACCGTCATCTTTGGCTTTGTTACCCTACCTCATAAAATCAACCAGGTCTGTCTGGATCCAGCTCCACATTGATAAAATTTCCAGGTGAGGCACTGGGAGATTTTAGCTGGCATCTCTTTCTCTCATCCCTTTATGCTGGCCCTGCCCCAGACTTTGGGAGCAGTGACAGAACTTCAGTACTCGTC